CCCCAGCCTGGCAGTCATTGTAACTCAATTTCAAGACAAGGCAGATGTGCCAGTCTGGGTGACATCAGTCTGTGCCCCCCACGGGGGCACTCCAGGGACCAAGTGGGAACTTGTGGCCATGAATTCCAGAGCCTGGGGCTTCCAGCACAGAGGTTTCTGGGACAGATGCAATCTCCCTTCATGTAGGGCAAGGCCCCAGGCCCCTCCCCTGATCTACGCTGGCCTGGCACTTAACCAGCTCTTGGATCTAGAGGCCCATTGATGCCATGGCCCTTATCTGCTGGCTTTGTGCTCCACTGCCTGTGGGCACCCCAATTTGCAGCACAGACTTGGAATCACAGATTGCTGAGAACCTTTCCTCTGCCATGGAGGAACTGTGTTTAAATGTGACTGTGTTTGCCTTTTCTGGCTCTGATTTTAAAAACAGGTACCTGAGTTTACTTGTAAAAAAGTACATAAGATGTTTAACATCTAACTGCTCCGCAGTAGGGGGAAGATAATTATTTTTTATTATTTTGGGTATTTCTAGTTGGGCAGGGTTGGGTAGCATTGGTAACAATGCACACAGTAATTCATTAATTAACACTTTGCTGGCACCTGATGGTATAGAGATGGGGTCCAATAAACATTCCTTATGCGGAATAGAGTTTACTTCCTAACCTTGGAAACTAGGCTTACCATGAGGCTGTGCAGGTCTCCTCTGTCACAGAAGATAGATCTAAGCAGTCCTAGCTAGGAGGCAAACGGATGCTAGTTTCTTACCACACCTGGCTTGGAACAGGAGGGCTGCTTGCTGTAGCCGCTTTCTGAAGCACTTGTACAAATTTCTTTTCTGATGCTATCACAAGTTGTCTTACACTGACAGGGGGCAGGCAAAAAGCTTTGTGAATTTGGATATGTGAAACTTTCCATTTGGCCCCCAATCCTGGCAGTCCTTTTTCAAAGTGAAAACAATTTTAAAAGCTGAGATGATCTCATAGGTCTTTCTGCTTCTGAAACAGATGGTGTGATTCACATACATTTGACATCAGTGCACCAGGTTGTGATGATTTGCCTCGTTATGCTCAGCTGAAGGGTGGATGAAGCAGCAGTAATACGCATGGATATGAAGCATGACCTTAGGTTAGCAAAGAAGGTGACAGTGGGGCTGCTTCATGGTTACTGCAATGATTTTGTGAGTTGAGGCTCTGCGCTTACAGCACCATGCCGTAACCTTTAACAAGACGCTGCAGGTCCACTAGAGGCCTTCTAAAGTACTCTTTATTTTAACAAGTGTGTGTGCAGGCCACCCAGCCTTCAAATCATCACAACACCCCCTTTCTCTAAGAATGGTGGGTAACAATTAATGACTAATAATGCCAAAGAGCGTCAATTAGTAAACTTCTGAATACCCACAAAGCTCTAAGCACTCTCTGGATTATTAGCTAGAAAAATCAGTAAAAGGCAAAACTCAGTTTTTACAAAATCTGTCCACTGCTTTTCCCCTTCAAAAATAACCATTTCCCTCCCTAGCCCTGTCTGACAGACTTTCTGTGATAACTGAAATAGTCTCTATTTATTTTGTCCAGCAAGAGCTACCATTTGTAAAATATTTGTGACTATGGTTCTTGAGGCTTAGAACTAAACTTTACATTCATTTTAAATGACAACAGCCATGTGTGGGACAGCACAGTCCTGGCCAAGGGAAATCTCTGCACGAAGATGACGCTGGAATAGAAGGTAGAAAGTTCATTAACTAATGGGTCAGCCAGTCTTTATCTTCCAAACAACTTTTCTGGTAGCTCAATCTAAAGCTCCCAGTCCCCCAGTATAGAGTGTATGACCAAAATAAATGGGAATGTTTAAAAGTTTTTAAAAATTTTACAGCAAAAGACACACTGCCATTAATCACGCTCAAAAGACTCCCTTTTGATTTGGACACATTTATTCATTTCTCTTGCCACTTGCTGAAGCAGTTCGGAAAGTCCTCTTTCATGCCTTTAGTTGGGCTGTCGTGGCTGCCTTGGTGACCTGAATCAATTCAAAACATTTATCTTTCCTGGTCACTTTGACTTTGAGGAAGTACCAGACACCACATGGTGTGGGATCCGATGAACAGGTGGATACGGACACCCTGAAATATTTTATGGGTCTGCCTTTCTCCTGGATGGCACTCGGCGGCAGCATTCACTCTATTTTTGATCATACTTCATAGACACCCACGAAAGAAGATTTCCAGAACTGCTTCAGAAAATGACGAGAAAGATGGGGCGAGGATGTTCAAAATAAGGGGGAAGGTCTTGAGGGGTATTAATGACAGTGTGTCTTTTACTGTAATATGTTTTTAAAACTTAATATTCACTGTATATTTTGATCACCTTCTGTAGGTCAGCTAATAATCAAAGAGCAAGAAAAGAGTTGAAACCATGTTCCTTTTTAGCATAGATCTAGAGGACTATTTTCCCTCTTTCATGTGAATTCTGTGACAGGAAACTATTACACGATACACAACACTCTGAGACCCCCTCTCAGTGCCTTCCCAGGTCCCATTTCCCAAGAGACCTGAAGCTTTTCTTAATTTCCGTCCTCACAGTGAAGTGTACTTACCTGCACTCTAGAGGACAGAAAACACTTCTTCTCCTGCACACCTTTGTCTATTTTATTTTTTTTTGAACCAGGAATCAAATGTAGGAGCCTGTGCACACGCCATACTGCTGAGCCATACCCCCAACCCCGCACCTTTGTTATTACCATAAGTGCTTTGTACACTTTCTCTCCTGAACAGTGTGCTTCGCAGGTACCGTCAGTACTAATGGAACAGGCACTCAGTCACTGTAATTCTCCTCCCGCCCTGCCCAGCATGTTGGAGGTGTAATTAAGGGCTTACTCAATGCTTCTTGCTAATGGATTAAAGACTATTATAAGGGCAATGGGATTTCTACAGCTGCATTTTAGGCATTTTTTTTTTTTTCAGTTCAACATTATTTCAGGAAAAAAAAAAGTATAATTGCCCTTGTAAGATTTTTGAGCAAAGAGTATTAGGATTGGTTATCTGGGAGAAGCACTTTAGAATCAGTCATGAACTTTTCAGGTGGATGGCACAATGATTTGAAGGTTAGAAAACAGATCTGAACTTGCTTGGTGATTGAATGACTGACACTTAAGGGGAAAAGCATGAAAAATACATTATTATCCCAGTTCACTCACGAGTGAAATAGAAAATAAAAACCCTTACTCAAGGCATAGTCACTGGGCTCTCCTAAGGATGGGTAAATAACTACGCCTAGGTTGATAACTAGGTGCTGGCATAGCACATCAGAACGATGGCTCTTTAGCCGCCCTTATCCTGGTCTGCTCTCTTCTCTCTGTCTCTGTCTCTGTTTCTGTCTCTGTCTCTCTCTCTCAGGTGGTACTAGTGATTGAACACAGGGGCTTTCACACAGAACTATGTTCCTAGCCTTGTTATTTTGTATTTTTCGATACTGTCTTGTTATGTCATTAAGGTGCAAAGGCTGGGCTCAAATTTGTGACCCTGTTGCCTCGACCTCCTGGTGATGGACTTATAGACACCACTACACACGGCTCCACTGTCCTCTATTTACCTCCTTGTATGTATGTTTTCTAAAAAGATTATCTTGAAAGAGCAAGTCACTCATTCTGCCAAATTCTCCTTAAACTGGAGATCAAAGCATTACTGAAAAGAAATTAATCTAGCAATATAATTACTCCCATTTTAGTTCAAAGTTTACAACAAACAGTACTTTAAGGTAATGATTCTCAAAAGTGAGGTATTTGGAGTAGCTGGGAACTTGTCAGAAATGCAAATTCTTGGGTCCCTCCCTGCCCAGGAACTACTGGACTAGAAATGTTGGGGGTGGAGCCCAGCTATTTGCATTATTTAAAAAAAAAAGCCACATGATTCTGATGCAGAAATGTTAAAGAACCACTGCTTTGAACCACTGTTGAAACAGTTGAAATGATTTGATTTTACACTAAACAAGTAACCCTAAGATGTCAAAATCTTTTCCAGTTCTATAAATGTCTGGCCTAGCACTAACCGTGCCCAGCCCCCAACAGTGAATAGTTCCGAGATCTAATACATCTTGTGCTGCTCAGTATCTGATAAAGCTGCCCCTCTGCTCTCTGGGAGGCACCCGGGATGGCACAGGACCACCTTCTGAGCTGAACCACACGCTCACTCATCTGTTTTCCAGTCTGAGGAACCAACACAGAAAAGGAGACACACAGGGAGGACACCATGTCTGAATTCAAAGATTTCCCTGGAATCCATCCATTTTAATCATTCCCTTCTTGGAGTACAACAAATACTTAATACTCCCAATCACGCTTTCACAAATGGAAATCAAAAGAAAGCCAGTGCTTATAAAATTAAAAATAACCTTTTCAGATAATTGCTTTTCAGCCATACTGAGCCATGAACCCTTCATGGCTATCACATGCTGTTGACCACGGTCAGTGTCTAGGTAATTCACCTCCAGTGTATGTCCACACACTTATTTACCAGATCTTGACCCCTAGCACCATGCTTATTAACCATTATCTTCTAGTCATAAACACAATCACGATCCCAGATTATAAGGTGAATGATGGAGAACTGTTTGTGCAAATGATACAAACACTTTCAAATTTCTGTTCAAAAACAACACTTGCTCTGTACCACAGACTTTATCTGCCCCAAGAACACCTGCACAGAAAAGTGTCAGATCGTCAGATGCACGACTTTGTTTCATGATCTGTTATATAGGCTTCTTGAGAAAAATGGAAATGTAAACTTCACTCGGTAACTTTTCTCACTTTAAATTGCACCTCTCATCACGACCTATCACACCCACAGAGTCATGTGCCACCAGTGCTGCAGACTGTCTCTAACATTTCCAAGGCTCAAAAGCTATTTTTAAGGCCAAAATACAATCTAAGCTGCTATTCTGTAAAGCACTTTTTAAGGTAAGAACAAAGTAACAGAGCAATTTCTATGCACATTAGGCAGTCAGCCAACTCACCGAAAGACTGAATGCAGCTGTCGATGAGGTCGTCCAGGCTGGCTCCTTTAGTTAAGTGTCCCAGGGACACCATCATTCGGAACTGGGTGATCTGGGCCAGGCTGGGATGCGAGGGGAAGGGGCTGTTCGCGGCTTTGGCCTCTAGTCTTGCTTTAGGGGCAGCTCTGGAGCCATGGGGTGTTTTCCTGGGGAAAAAGAAGGCAGTGAGGACAGGCAGAGTAGCTAGGGACAAACTGGCAGCTCAGGGCTCTGGCGGCAGACCAGAGAAAAGGAGTGGAGATAAGACAATTAATCCCAGGAGCTGGACTGATAGAAACCATACCCCTCCCACGTGGCAGTTGCATCAAATGGACTGGTTGGCTGTTAAAGAGACATCTTCCCAGCAAATGACAGGTAAGACTCCAGGACTACAATGAGGGCATTTAAACCCCAGCACTAGGATGGCTCTGTCCTCCTGTCTCCGATTCCCCTAAGGGAGAGGCAGAGGCAGGACTGTACCCTGGCAGTGCTTTTTTATAAATAAAATTTAGCTGCTAGGCCATTGATTTGGATCTTAAGAATTAAGTCGGTCTCATCTTCCCCTAAATTTATCTTGAGCGATACCAGAGATGCTCAGCAGACCAGGAAGCCTCAGCAATAGCTTTACAAAGACCTCAGTGGAGGATGTCAAAGCCTGAAGCCTGAAGCCTGAGGAGATATGGTGGCAGTGTTTAGATCTGAAGTTAGCTCTGTCTTTCTTACAGAATTTGGCTGGCTTTAGGAAACTTTCATTATTACTAACATAGGTAATCATTATGAGTCATTTTTATCATTAAACATTATTTCATGGAGTACTTACCTGGGTCATTAACAATTAAAAACGAAAGATAAGTAATGAGAGGCTTGTTTCAGAGGTGAATGTTGAAGCATAAATTTAGGTATGGATGTGGTTTAGGAGCCTAACATACCTTTCTCTAGTCACACTGGGCTTTTTGTGTGTGACCTGGTAAAAGGTATTTGGCAGGATGTTTTTGTGAACATGAAATATTTTATTTTTCTATTTAAAAACACATATATATCTTTATCTTATGATTTAATAGTGATGGTGGTATTGATGGTAACATCTGGGCATATACTTAGTTCTCTTTCCACTGTATCTCTGGTTACCTCATAGATACACAACCAAGGTTCATAATCTTAGCTACTCCCCACATACAATAAGCACATAATGGCATGGATTATTAATAGTTTATTCTGAGTACAATAGCATGGATGGCCAAGCGGACCACAGTGAATAGTCTATGCGAAAGTACTTGTTAAACTATATAATATGCTCATGTAAACTACAAAAAAGTTAGTTGCTACTATATAAAATCTAGAATTTCTATATAGATCTAGAATTTACTAAAAAACCTAGCTGGGGAATCAATGGAACAGTAATCACACAGTTCTTAAATAAGTGTCCTGTGCGTGTTACCAATAGTAAGTGATGTTCTCAGAGGAAAAAGAAGCAATTTAGAGTGAGTGTTTGGAAGAGCTTCTCTGACAAGATAAAATTTTACCCAATAGAGCTGAAGATTACTTAGACCAAATAAAATGCAGGGCATGCCTGAGTTTGGGAAACCAACCTGCTAAAGGGCAATTTTCTGAACACGGTCATTCAGGTATGGCCAGACTCCCCAGAGGAAGGGCCCCAGTGGTCTGAGTGAGGTCCATAAATGGAATCATGCAGTGGTTACTGGGCATCTGCTAGCTGAAGGGACTGTGTCCTGAGAAATCCATGACTGTGGCCATTGCTAATTTTTATCTAGGCCCTGAGATAGCATCAGAATCACATTGGTATCTCAGAAAAAAAGACAGTCTACAAATAAAACACTAACACACACCATGAACTGAAAGTCTACATTCTGAGGGCACTGCGCTGGGAATTTACATCACCTCTGATGCCTGCAACCTAGAACAATGCTTTCTCCATCACATGATGCTGAAGCTTAGGCCAAAAGAAGCTAAATGACATAGCCAAGGCCCTGTGATTCATGTGTGCTAGCCCTGGGATCTGTACCTGGAACCTTCCTGGCTTGATGCATTTAATAACTATCTCCTGTGCCTGGGACCATGCACCTCACCCAGCATCACAACTGGCAAGCAGCCTGTCACACTGAGGGTGACAGAATTAACCCAAAGTCAAATTCCTCAAAATCACAGCTACTAACTGAATCTCACCTCCTTCTGCAGGTTCTAGGAACTGTCTTCAGGATGCCAGCACTGGGTGGACTCCTCACAGTCATTTTCCAAACCCCTCAACTGTAGAGGTGGAGACCCAGGTTTGGAAGGGCAATGTCCCTGGGCCACTAGTGCAGAGCGTGCTAAAGAAAGCTGTCAAAACCATGAACTCCAGGAAAAGGGCAAAGATGTCTCAGTAGGATTTTGATTTCATGCAGCTGGGATTGGAAGAAGACTGGGAATTAGTGGAACCCAATTTCCACAGCTCATTTTGCAGGGAAGATGACTTTTACGGGTGTTTCAGTTAAAGCTGTGTAGAGAGGTACAGAGTCCCTCCATTTCCGCCCTTTCCTCCCCCTAACAGAGACTCAGTTTAACTGACTGACCTCCTTCATCCACTCTAGGACAAGGTACAGCGATTCCTTAGGGGATGACACACGAAGTGGGCAGGAAGCGCCTACAGGACCCTGAACGCTTGGTTCATGGGCTCAGAAATACAGCGTGTCCAATGTCCCAGAGCCTCCTCCTCTCCTGCGTAAGGCTGCACAGGCTGGGTGGGCACCATGCGTGTGAAGGGAGTTATGAAACGCAGGACCGTCCGGACCTATATCTAGAAGAGGCGCTGTTGGAGCAGCTCTGGTACTCTGGGGCGTGAACTCTAAATTGCCTGGCCAGCCCAAGCCTTTTGCTCAAGCCAGGAGCCCTTTAGCTCACTGTCACTCTTCCTCATCATCTATCATTGCACGAGTCCTCTTCAGCATCTCTTTAGAGCCGCAGGGTGGAGTGAGTGTGTGCGTGCACCCCACCCCCACACCCGTTCCACGGTTTAATGACCAGGGGTTCAAAACTCCAGAGCAGGGCCAACCAAGCAGAACGCCTCCACCTGTGCGCCACAGACGCGGCCGGACAGGGTCAAAGAGAACGCCAGGGGGCGCTGCCGGGGTCCCCGAGTCCGCGGCAGGTATAGGGGACGCGGAAAGTCCACGAATGGGAGTCTGGGTTGCGTGGCAGGAGGATGGGGAGGAAGTCCGAGGGCTTGCGCTCTCGCCCTCGCCACTCGGAGTCCCGCCCGCGAAGTCCGGGTCCGAAACCCAGCTCACTCCTCCACCCGCATCTCCAGGCACCAGGCACGCTGGGCACCCCGGGCGCGTCCGCCCTCGCGCGCGTCTCCCCAGACCCGGGCGGAGACCCGGCCCCCCACCCCCCACTCGCCCGTTCTCCGGCCTGGTCAGCGACTTTTCCTAGAGCGGCGTCCCAGTCGCCCGCAGTCCTCTCCCTCCATCCATAAGAGGTCGCAGCCGCCCCTGCCCTAGAGGAAAGTGGCGCTAGCTCCCGGGGCGCGGGCGCCCCTACTCACCGCGGAGCCTCTCGTGCCTTGCCCAGGGTGCCCATGGCTGCGGCCCGCGCTGCCGGAGCGGTCACCTTGCGCGGCGGGACGGGCTCGGCCGGGCCCGGCGCATCGCCACCCGGCCCGCCTCTCGCCCCGCAGCCCGCACCGGAGCGGGCGCTGCACCCGGGAGAGCAGAGCGAGCGCACCCGCGGCGCAAACTTTGTGCGCGCGCCCCCTCGCCTGGCGCGCGCCTTCGGCGCAGGCACCACCTGACAGGCGCCGATCTTATCGGCTGCAGGAAACGTGTGGGGCTCTCGCGCTTCTCCGAAACCGGGCCCCATTACTCAGTAGCGCCTGAGGCTGCACCTCCTGCAGCCTTCCTTTGGCCCCTCCCAGCCGCGGGTTCAGGGCGAGGGGAACTGGAGAGCGACGAGCGGGAGGCTCCTGGACCCCCGACTCCACCGAGCTTCTGCCTTACTGTCGCCTCCACCTGAGCCCACAAAGCGGCCTCGGTAGAACCCCCAACCCTACCCCTCGACGGCCTCTCCTGCATAGATCACAGCTCAGAATCCGGGTCAGGAACTGAGATTATATGGACAGGGAGACACAGGCAGGATAAAGGATAAAATGGGTTTTCGTTAAGCTTGATTAACGAAATTAGTAAAGAATCTTATAAAAGGCAGCTTTTAGATTGCGGTTAGACTTCAGCAATTAGAAAGACTATAGTAAGAAAGGACAGAGAAACAAGACCCGGGAAGGTGTCAAGTAACATAACATAAGAATTTAACAGGAAGAGTGACAGGCAAAGCGAGATATGGCCAGGAACATGAAAGGCAGGGGAAACCAGGCCCCCTCAGCCACCTCTGATAAAATGCAAAGGAGATACGGGGCGGCCACCTAAACGCTCTTGTTTAATATATAAAAAACATGTCTATACATACACACTTTGTTTGTATATTCTTAACTTTAGCATCACTATACCTCTGTACCAGAGATACAGATCTTAATTTCTAACTCTAAGCTGCTCCTTATGAGGCTCCCTCCCACACTTGTCCATCACAAATGGGCAGGAAGAAATCAAATAGAAAGAATATAGGTAGAGGTGTCAAGATCAAAGACAGCCAGAGAGCTAATTGGGTGGTGACAACTTGTAGGTGTCTTATCAGGTGCCTGCACAGAGGATGGGCAAAATCACTCGTCCTAAATAAAAAGGAGAGGACAAAAATCCACACATATTCACTTCTGGTATCCTCTACCTGGTATCCTCTACCCTCCTGCAGCTATCTTTTTTTTTTTTTTTTTTACATCCTTTTCCTAAAAATCACTGTTACTCCAGGAGTGGACACACCATCCCCCTGCTCTGCTGAAAACGCAGCTCGAGGTAATCCTTAACTTGCACCCGTAAAGAACTGAAACAAAACAAAACAAACACCCCCCACTCCAAACAGCAAAGTTTAGTATAACAAAAGACTGTTTCTTTCGGGAGAAAAGACTGAAAAGAAAGATGATAGATAGCTACTGTGAGTCTTGAGAGCTTGAAGCCCACAAGCTCTTATCTCTGGTTCCTTTTACTGGGGAGTAGTGTCTTTCCCATCCCCCAGAGGGGCGCTCCTCGATATCTGATCTGTTGCCTTGTCTGTCTTTGAGCCTACAACCATGTTGTTTATTCTCAGACGCAGCTTCCTTAGAACAGCTGGCTCTGGGCAACACACGTGAATCATTACTAAAAAATGGCTCTTGCTTTGATTTTGAAACGTGGAATATAGTGATCTTGAAGAAGAAAATTAGACTCTTCCAGATTATATCTAGAGAAATAGCACACATTCTCCTTTGAAGTCCCCGTCTACAGCAAAATTGCTAAGCTTCCGGACACCGCTACACTACAGCTTTCATAGGGTGCCCTTCACAGTTTCTCTGCTGATTCCCTTGTATACACATCAGACTACACATTTATACTCTGTGTCTTGGGACATCTTGCAGCCACTCTGTGTGGCAGAGGACTAATCCAGGCTGCATGTGCCTATGTATATACGCAGAATGATTAAACATATACCTTTGTCTAAATGCATGATTTTATTGATGTGTAAATCCATGTTTCTGAATACAGACTATTTGGCATATTCACATACTATTAAACACATATGCAGGCAGTTACATGCATCTATAACTGAAGTTCATTATACATATAAGCAATAGAAATCGAATTTATTAGTTCACTCTTAACATCATTCTTTTTTTTTTTAACATCATTCTTGATAAATTTTCTAAAGAAAGAGTCCTGTGCACCCTTCTCTTGGGCTTCTTGGGAGCTTTACTTGCCTCTGATTCTGTTTCTGGGCTTACCTAAGATTTGTGCTTTTTTGTTGTTGAACTCTGTTTTTTTTTATTGAATGTGTCACAAAAGAGGTTTAATCAAAAAGACCAAAGCATGTCATCACCAGTGTCCTGGGATTCTTCCTGCCTGGCCTCTGCTTTTTTCTCTTGGGGGAACAGTGAGAGGGGGAGCCTCCTTCGGGTGCAGCACCAGCTGCAGGAGCAGGGCCACCAGCCTTTGTGTTGCATATTAGGAACTCCATGTAGGCACTGGCCAAGGACTTTGCAAAGAAGCCAGGCCCCAAAAGTCCCATGTTTACACCAGCTGCTTTTATGAGGGCGTTGATCTCATCCTCCACGAAGGTCACCCCACAGTCCTGGAGGACAGGGGACATGAACTTGCAGCCAGGGCCCAAGGGGCAGGTGCTGGATGAAGTGACTTGTGAGGTCATGACTCCTCACCAAGGGGCTTCAGGGCTCCCAAGGCTTTAGAACTACTGTACACCTTCTGTGAGCCTACAGCCCGCTTTTGTGCATGTCTGAGGATGATTTAAGACCCCCCAGGTAGCCTTAACTTCCTCAGAAGGACAGAGGTCCTAGGTGGCCACTGAGCAAAGGGCCTGCCAAAGACCTCTGATGACGCTTTCTGGCTGCTTCCATCTAAGCTGTGCATAGTTTCTTAACTCGTACACCTGAGAAGTTAGCTCTGTCTCGCTGTTTACCTCCTGCCATGTGCTTAGTCTCCCGGGGGCCTGAGGCACCTCTGAGCCCTAGGAACAATACTTTCCTTCACCTGTAGCTTGTCTTACTCTCTTTTCTGCTTCCTCTACCTTTTGATGGGCAAAAGTCAGTGCCTGGATTGGGGATCCTTAAGTCTTCTGCCTGCCACCTTGGGGGAGCTTGCTCGCCTGGCTGTCCATCATTCTAGCTCTTTTCCATCAGGGATTTTTCCCCGGACCTTTTACTTAGATGTAGAGTAGAGAGGTTACCTGCAAAGGCTCTGAAAATGCATCCCAAACCGTTGGGTCTGCTTTGTCCTGAAGGAATGATTTTTAGCATTCATCAGATTTTCTAAATGATTCATCATCAAACTATGTGTTTTCATTTTCCCCGACAGCTTCAACAGGACCCAGATGACCCTCCTGAATAGCCAGGCTGGACATCTACTATTCAGACCCATGTTTCTAATCACTGCTTCTTTTTGTCTTCTGTGGGATCTTCTCTCCATGGGGCCTCATTGTCTCTCACTTGGATAATGTAACAGACATGTCACTGGCTCCACATCATGGAGCCTCCTTTTCTCTGATCTTTCTTTCGTGTTGCTTTCTCAGTTACCTTGACACATTGTTTTTCTGCTTTTGAACTGCTTGGGCATGTTCCATTGCCTGCAAAATAAAACATGACTTCTTAGCTTGGTCTCATAGGACTGGACCTTTTCAATCCAGCCTGGCCTCCAGCCATACCCTCACAGGCACCTGACCTCTTAGAGTGCACCTGATGATTACTATTTGCACTGTCCTTTGAAGCCTCAGTCATTCTGCTGATGTGATTCCTTCTGGCTCCTATCTCTTGCCACCTACTAAGTACACAAAACTAGAGTCATGCAAATCCATCTGAAGAAGTATTTCCCCCTAGAAGGCACACACAGGGCTGCCCCTGACATGGAGGAGAGAGTCCCTTTCAGAATCAGTCTACTGCCTGGTGTGCTTGGGCAATCTATTGGCTACTGCAGCCTGCATTGCATTTTCTAAGGCTTATTTATCCATCCAAGTGTAATTACAGGTGCCTCCTGGTGCTTGGAGCTGTTCTTGTCACTGCAAGTCTGGAAGAGAACAAGATAGGCAAGATCCTTATGTACGTGACAGCAACCAAGTCAACAAGTCAACGAATCCATAAATATGTCACAACTTTGCACCCTGATTTCAGGAAGCTGCCACTTTAGAGTTGGGACATGTCCCAGGCAAGGACTCCACATGGACTTTCCAGGACAAAGCACCATATGTAGGAACACACAGCTCTTCAGGAGAGCCAGAGGAGAAGCAAGGGCGGGAGGAGCCCAGGTACTCCCCTGCATGGTCCTGCTGGGTGCTGCCTGTGGTTCTGAGACAGGGAAACCTCATAATTTTATTGCTGTGTCTGGCTGTCCCACACTGCAGGTTTTAAAATCAAGGAATCCCTGCTGAGGCTCCCTTGGGCAGGAGCTGTCCCTGTGAGCAGTGGCTGCCTGGCCCCCGGCCTATAGACTGCTGCCTCGTGTGGACAGCAGCCATCCTGGTCTCTCCAGCTGGAGTGGTTTTGTGGAGGTGATTTGTTTCCTTGAGCTATTCCAGAACCTCCAAGGGGATGGTTTAAAAATCCATATAAAATTGCATTTTTGTGTTGGTTCATTCAAGTATAAGTTCTACATGTGGAAATTCATCCTTATTTTCAGCTTTGTGTGTGTGTGTGCACTCTATCTCTGAGTTACCTTTGCAGCATTTTTAAAAATTTTAAATTTTAAGACAGGGTCCCCCAAGTTTCCCAGGTGGGACTCTCATACTTGGTAACCCTCCTGCCTCAGCCTCCCAAAGTACTGAGATTACAGACCACTATGCCTGGTCTTGAAACTGCTTTGAAGAACTCCATCAACATGGGAAATTCCAGCTGAGCATGGTGGTGCACTCTTGTAAACCCAGCACTTGGGAGGCTGAAGCAGGCAGATTGTTGCAAGTTTGAGACCAGCCTGGGCTACAAAGTGAGCCCAAGGTCCTGTCTCAAAAAGACAAAAATAAATAAATAATAAATAAATAAATAAAATTCCTTCCTAGAGTCCTACCTCAAGTCAGATTTATTTACATCACAGAGCTCATATTTTCAGTCACATTAGCCTATAGAGCACCTCCAAATTTAATCAAATATAGCTTTAGGATGCTAATACAGTAAGCAAATAGCAATTTAATTTTAATTGTCTCAAAAGTTTTATTTGTGTTATGGGTGTGGAAAGGTCCTGTGCTGAGCAGAAGATTGGGGTCCAGCTTTTGCTTTAACTGGGGTACTTGGACTAATGAGAGGTCAGGTGTAGGATTCTTGGCAGAGTGACCCTCATAATTTGCAGATGTGTAGGTCTGCTAGGTTGTGCCAAAACACACACACACACACACACACACACACACACACACACACACACACTGTTCCAACAATTACTCTGAATCTGGGTCCTTCAAACCTATTAATTTTCTATGACATTAGAAACTGATGCTACCAGAGCCTACTAAATGGCTGCATGATTGGGCTGGGGTTAATAGTTAGTTCTAGGTCTCCATTCATAACAATAGGTCCCTGCAATGACTCAGGAAGGCAACTGTATGGCTTTGAATAGGGGGCCCTCTTTTCACTAAACTCACTTCGTAAGTTTTATTTTTGCATTATTTGTATTGATCTATTCAAGAAATAAACACTATTTCAAATCGTACTGATGTAGCATTCCCTGCTTTCTGATCTGGCCTAGGTAGATTTTTGTTTTGGTCCCATTTTTTTTTTTTTTTCAATTTTAAGGAGAACAAAACAAAACAAAAGAATGTGGCTGGGAATTTAGCTCAGCAGGCATAAGCGCCTGCCTGATAAGTGCAAGGTTGAGAGTTGGATCCCTAGTACAGAAAAGAAAAGAAAAAAGAAGAGAAGAAAGAGACTAGAGCCAGCAAAAGTGAATCCACTTTTTTCAAGTTTGTTGAGCAATATCTTTTATTTTTTCTTTTTAAATGAATGCTTAGATGGTAGAATGGCTTGCACAGTTAAAAGTGTGTGACCGCTAGAGCAAGACTGAGCTTGAGTTTAACTCAGTAAACCTTGGTTATGCGATTCCCAGAAAGTTAGTGATGTCCTTAAGCCTCTTGTATGAATGACGTGGGTACAAACAACCCCTCCCTTGTAGTACTTTGGTGTCAGTCATGCCGCACGGCTTGTGCCTCACATGTGTGGCAGTGAGCCCTGCAGACATGCACACGTTCTGAGTGCTTCCTGTGTGCCAGATGGTATGGCCACAAGGGTGAGTGTTTTAGTAACCGGTAGGTGATTCGCCATCCTCTTCTTGGGGCACCTACCCTGGTTCTTGATTGATGCAGAGGAAATGAGGTTGGGCCAAATGCAAAGGTTAAGACGCATTGTGAGCCAAACAGAAGTAAGGGGAGACTAGAGAGGGTGTTGTAGAGGAAAGGAGAGCAGAGTCTTGCTGGTCTGCAACACTCATCAGAGTATCTTTTCCCCTCCACGTCTGCCCATACTAATGTTGCAGGCAGCTGAGTTAGAAATATTATAGGCAGTGAGGGCTAGATCCTCCAAAGAGCCAGTGCAGAAGCTGAGATACCTTGCAGCTGTTGGGGAGACAGACACCTCCCGCTGTGGGCCAGGCCTCCATACAAAAGATAAAATGAATGCATGCAGTCCTAAAGTCTGATATCCTAAACAATTCCCTATCACCCTGAGAAAGCCAGGAGTCACCATTCCGACCCCCTAGGGAAGAGTCACTGCTCTCTAAGAATGCTGGCTTTCTGCGTGACTTGCTTCCCCATTTGTCCCTAATGCAATCAATTTTATCTGAATCTTATTGGCTAACCATAGTTCTGTCCCACCTTATGCCTATCTTCCTTGTGAGTTCCCAGTTTTCCCACCTTGAGCCCACCTCACCCCACGATTTTACTCTATAAAAGTCTCTGGAAAAGACAGAGTCCTTGGCAACCTGCTCAGGACCCCTTCTGTCTCTCTCAAACAGAAGCTTTCTTTTTCTCAATAAATATATTCTACTCTTAACCTCTGTTGTTTCTAAAATTCATTCTCGGATTTTAGAGAACGTGAACTTGCTGACATAGCAGGGTGGGAGTTTCAATCCCCTGTATCACTAAGACTCTAGACTTCATCTTAATGCCTTTGCAGTCTGGGACACTTCATACCTTGAAGAACTCCTTAAATCCCTATCTCCACTTTAGTCATGATTCAGTTAACACTACTTAAATTTGTCTATGGTGTTTAAGTTGAAATTCAACACTGGGGTCTCTTTTCAAAAGGCTGGCATTGCATGCTGAGCAGCAATAATTGAAATGATGGAATTAGTGTTATCATGCAACTACTATTTTAAAAACTTGTAGTGTGCATCTAACACCTCACTGCCTTCATTCTGCTTAATAATTCAACACTTACAAAGATATTTGGGTGAAAGGTAGAAAAAACAGTTCATAGAAAGATTCAAATGGTCAGGATCAGCCAAAGGATGTGGTTTTCTGAGTTAAAAAAAAGTTGCTTAATTTAATATACATTTAAACATACTATGATAAGTATTGTATTAAAAACAAACTTCTAAGTATTAATGGACAACCTTGCATGTAAGCAGTGAAGAAAATCATTACAAATTACTTTGGTTAGGTATTTCTCAAGTGGATTTCATTTATAGATATGTCTTAAGCTCTGCAAGAAACTGCCC